GTGAACAGATGTGTGAACAGACGTGTGTACAGATGTGTGTACAGACGTGTGTACAGATGTGTGTACAGACGTGTGAACAGATGTGTGTACAGACGTGTGAACAGATGTGTGAACAGATGTGTGTACAGACGTGTGAACAGATGTGTGTACAGACGTGTGTACAGACGTGTGTACAGATGTGTGAACAGATGTGTGTACAGACGTGTGTACAGACATGTGTACAGACGTGTGTACAGATGTGTGAACAGATGTGTGTACAGATGTGTGTACAGATGTGTGTCAGTGTAGCCGCACACTCTGCTGTCAGAGTTTACCTGTTCACCTGTGGAGCACAGAAACTCCACACCTGTGTGCTCACTGCAAACACAGTAACAAAGCAAACATGGACGAAGCTAAACTTCCAGAGTTTGTTTTTTAAATGATCATTTAGATCAGTTGGTTTTAACTCTTCAGTCGTTTGATTGGTAAATAAGACATAAAGGTCAGWGTTTCTGGAAGCTGGTGGAGCTGGGACCTGGACAAAAGATGAAACCAGAAACTTTGGTTGTTATTTGTGAAGCAGATGTTTTACTCTTTTCAGAAATCTGACATTTCTGAAAAGAAAGAAAAGAAGCAACAACATGAAGAGCTGCACAGTACAGACTCTGAGCTGAAACTAAATTAAAGAGCTTCTCAGTGGAACGGGTCAGGATGTTCCCACACAGTGCTGCACATGTTCCTGCTGAAATAAAGGATGTAGAAACACAGGCTCCTGTCAGAGAGATGAAGTCAGCATCTCCTCCATGTGACAAACAGAGTCCAGTTCAAAGTCTGCAGAGTCTGAAAGGAAAGCTGCTGCAGCTGCTCAACAACAGACCTGAGAACAGGTGCACATATCCACCTTCATCCAGTCAGATAGCATCAAACCAGGAGCTCGTGATGTTTGTCTCACAGTAAACATGGTTAAAGGTCCAACAAGATCAAAACTGACGCAGAGCTGCACAAACCTGGAGCTTTGCTTTAAATTCCTCTTTATTAATAAATGAACAGATTCAGACAAAAATACTTCAGATAAAATTTCATCTGCTGTCACCTGACCCTGCAAATATAAAGAAAAGTCCTGCTGTAATAAAACCCCGCCCTCTATAACAGTATAAAAGGTTTTTATAACAATAAGTTCATGGAACAATAAAAATYTGAAACAAAAAGAAAGAACAGGCTGTACAGACCAGCTACAGTTACACAAGTTAAACACACACATGTGCACATTAACACACCGAGAGCCCCTCTCTGCTTTAATCCCAGGCAGGACGTCAGCCGGACCCACAGAGTCCAGATGAACCCTTCAGTCTGCTGACCAATGACTGAAGAGCAGAAGAATGAAAGCCTGACAGATGTGCTGCACAGCTTCCTGGCTGCAGCACTCAGCAGGTCCAGATGTTCAGAGGAGAGCTCAGGTCCTGGGTCCGGTGTCCACCCTGCAGACTGAAGACTACAGCAGCTCGATGTCCCACTGCTGACTGGGCCGGTCCTCACTCTGTGGCATCAGCACCACGTGTTCCCGGTCGTAGGTTTTACCTCCTGCAGGAACAAGAAGAACCAACAGTCAGAGGGAGGTCCACACCTGGACTCTGACGTTTCTCATGACGATGGAAKTGATATTAATCATCTTTCATCGTTTTCTCTGACAGTAAATCTGCTCTTAAACTTTTCCTTTCCTCTGTGAAGATCTGGGATTAAGAGATGAAATGTTTTTAATTGGATCAGAAAACAGGTGTAGGGTCTTCACTCGAGGTGACCCCTCCACAGGTTAGATTTGAAACGATTCAACAGACTCAGGACAAACCCAGACTCTGTCCTCTGATCCGACCCACCTTTAACATCCAGAACCATCCCGGAGAACGTCAGGCTGCTGATGAGACCCGTCATGTGGGCTGACCAGGTCTGGATCGGCTGCCGGGTCTCAGTCCACAGAACCACTTTTGCTGAAGGTTCCACGTTCCCCATGACTTGGAGACACATGTTGGGGGACATCTGCAGGAGCAAACATCACATCACTGGACCCAGCAGAACTTCCTGTTGGTAAAGTTCATCTACACCAGCTGATAGGTGGAACTCTTTAGAAACAAATAATCCTAAATCATCTGCAGATGTTTGGTGGTTTGGACCATCATGGCTCTGTACCACTGACAGAACAGGAAGTTCTGACGTCTCTTTAAACACCAACAACGTGATGAAGTGGAGTTCTGATCAGGTTCTGATGACTGTCACCTTGTTTTTGATCAGCCCGTCCTGGTAGAACCAGACGTCACTTAAAGGCTCCACCTCCTGCGCTGCCACCACCCGACCAGATCTCATCTCTTCCACGCCTCCCTGAACGGACAGGAAGTGACCGCTGTCTTTGTTCCTCACACGGAACAAGTGTCGCTTCTGCACCAAGAAAATGGAGATGTTTGAAAAAACTGAACAGAAACTGAATTTTCTCTGCAGGTTCTGATGGTTCTACAGCCACGTTTCAGAGGCAGCACGARGGCTCAGTGGTTAGCACCGACGCCCCACAGCAAGAAGGTCCAGGGTTCGATCCCCGGTTCAGACCTGGGGTCTTTGTGTGGAGTTTACATGTTCTCCTTGTGCTMGTGTGGGTTTTCTCCAGGTTCTCTGGTTTCCCCCACAACACAACAACATGTAACAACACAACGACACGCAACACAACAACAACACGTAACAACACGTAACAACACAACATGTAACTACACGTAACAACACGTAACAACACAACAACATGTAACAACACAACGACACGTAACACAACAACAACACGTAACAACACGTAACAACACAACATGTAACTACACGTAACAACACGTAACAACACAACAACATGTAACAACACGTAACAACACGTAACAACATGTAACAACACAACATGTAACTACACGTAACAACACGTAACAACACAACAACATGTAACAACACGTAACAACACGTAAC